GACCGGAATCGAACCTGGGACCTTTCAGTCCGCAGACCGACGCTCTACCACTGAGCCAAACCGGCTTCGGCGAGTTGGCGTTATTTCTATGTGTAGTTTTATATCTTTCATATACATACCCCAAATAATATAAACTACTGATTTATTTGTGGTAAGTTTTGCACATGCACCTTTAAAAAAAACTTTAGTAATAACTTTATATGGTGATAGGTGGTTATTAGGCTTACTATGGTAATCACATAGTGAGTATATAAATGTTGAATTACTATATGGTGCAATCTGAAACATAATATTGTATGTCAACTAGCCAGGACTGGTTTGGCTCAGTGGATAGAGCATCGGCCTGCGGACTGAAAGGTCCCAGGTTCGATTCCGGGCAAGGGCATGTACCTTGGTTGCGGGCACATCCCCAGTGGGGGGTGTGCAGGAGGCAGCTGATCGATGATTCTCTCTCATCGATGTTTCTAATTCTCTATCCCTCTCTCTTCCTCTCTGTGAAAAATCAATTTAAAAATAAATAAATAAATAAATAAAAAATATTGTATGTCAACTATACTTGATCTTAAAAAAAAAACATTAGTGAGATAATTTGCATACCAGAAAGTTCACCTGTTTAAACCAATTCTGTGTTTTTTAGTGAAATATCCTTTTAAATACAAAAAGGATTTTTAGTGAAAATTAAATTAAATACTAAATATAAAACCATTCAAGGGCAGTACATGGCTCATAGCAAATGCTCACTAAATATTAGCTGCTGTGATTATTACTACACCATTGTTACTATGCTATTATAGTCAGTAAATTACTAATTTCCTTTCAACCCCCTTAAGCAGCCTTTCACTTTATTTTTTTCTCTCTTATGTTTTATTAATTTTTTACAGAGAGGAAGAGAGAGGGACAGAGAGTAAGAAACATCAATGAGGGAGAATCATCGATCAGCTGCCTCCTACACACCCCCCAACCACGGATGTGCCCACAACCAAGGTACCCGCCCCCGCCCGGAATCGAACTTGGGACCCTTCAGTCCACAGGCCGACCCTCTATCCACTGAGCCAAACCAGTTTCAGCTAAACAGCCTTTCTTAGCCTTTTTATTTAATGGAAAGTCAGCCAAAATGTATCCTGAATTATGCTTTCAGCCCCTTTCCCTTATTATCTTTACCCACAAGGATCATTAGAATCTTAAAAATTAGTTTTATTTATTTTAAATTTATCGGTTTATATTGCCTATAATTTAAATGAATATGCCAGAGCTGAAATCTAATTTGCATTACGTTTTAGCCTTATTATCTTATAAAGTTCATTTAGCTGCATTTTACGCTAATCATTTTATATATGCTAAATACTAGTTTCTTCCTTTACATTTTCTTGAGCCTATTATTAATCTTTTAAAAAAAATTAATTGATTTTAGAGAGTAAGGGAGAAGGAGAGAGAAGCATCAATGATGAGAGAGAATCATTGATTGGCTTCCCCCTGCATGCCAAGAATTGAACCTTAACCTCCTAATTCATAGGTAGATGCTCAATCACTGAGACAAGCTGCCTGGACTATTATTCATCTTTCTCTACCTCCTCTATCACAGGAATTCCCACCACTAGTCAACTACTATCAAGTTAATCAAATAACAGAACTGTAATTTTCTAAACAATAGACTCATTGGTTATACCAAGTTCTAACAAAAATAAACCCCACAACAAAAATCTGAAATTGTGAAATCAGTATTTTATCATAGATTTCAAATTAAATGTGCTCATCTAGGGCATTTTAACTTTTTCAGAGCAGTAACTTAATAGAAGCTCAATGCTGAACAGGTTTCTTCAAGGGGTCTATTTCTAGTTTTCTATATTCTACAATGGAAATGCAAAAATCATCATTGTTCGTAATAGAATCATAAATATAGAACACCAATCATTTTTGTCAATATATTTAAACTCCGAAACCTTAATATTGCATGCATTTCTCAGCATTTCCTCCTATTCTACAATATTTTTTATTCTCCTACTAAGGAAAACAAAAAGCAAAACAGACAACAAAACCTTTAGGGTAAGACACAACTAAAAAAAATTGGCCTGCTATATTTGGTCAAACATTGAATTAACATACCCTAATGCTTTGGCAGAGACAGACCAAATGATTTTGCGAGCTTATTCTGGAGGTTCCCACCCCTGCTCTCTCTATAACAAAGGGACTATTAGACTTTTACATACATTGTTTCTAATTGTTTAAATTGATTTTTAGAAAGATAAAAGAAAAAAGAAGCATCTATTTGTTGTTCTACTTATTTATACACTCACTGTTTGATTCTTTTTAAAAAAATATTTTTTAAAATATATTTTATTGATTTTTTACAGAGAGGAAGAGAGAGGGATAGAGAGTTAGAAACATCGATGAGACAGAATCATCTATCAGCTGCCTCTTACACACCCCCTACTGGGGATGTACACGCAACCAAGGTACGTGCCCTTGACCGGAATCAAACCTGGGACCCTTCAGACCGCAGACCGACGCTCTATCCACTGAGCCAAACCGGTTTCAATTGACTTTTTAAATTGACTTTTACAGAGAGCAAAGGAGAGGAAGAAAGAAACATCCATCAGCTGCCCCCTGAATGGAACGAGCCCGAAACCTGGGCATGTGCACTGATTGGGAATCCAACTATCAACCTTTGGGTGCAGGGCCGTTGGTTGACTATATGGTTTTGCATGTCACCGATTAAAAACAAACGAATCTCACCCCCAATCATCACCACAATTAAATTACCTACCAAAACTTCCATTCACTCAATCACTATCTGCCCCATCTCAGTACTGCCCCTTTCCTTCCTGGGTGGAAACCGCAGCCCACGAGGAAAGCCACACGGACTTTAATAACAGTTGGTGCCAGCCCACAGTGGGTGACAGACACCACACCGACAACTCCATCAGCCACGGTGAGGGTCCACGCTTCCTTCGGGTGAGAACGGCCACCGGCCAGGCCGTAAGACAACCACCACCACGTGCCTCACGTGACCACAACGAACTAAAAGACCGTTATTCCCATTTTACAGACAGGCTGCTCAGAGAGGCACATCCGCCACAGAGAGGCACATCCGCCAGAATCCATCCGCCACACCCCTGACAGTGGAAATGCCACCATTCAGACTCGAATCGTGTTGGTCCCTCCCCACCCCTGACCAACGTCTGTCCCCCTCCCCAGCGCTTCTCGGACACGCAGCCCTCCGCCACCCACCGGCACCAAGCCACAGGTGCGCTGCCCGGGCGACCTCTCAGCTCCCCGTCTCTGGAGGCTGTAGGCCTCCCTCTCGAAGGGAGCTCCCGCTCGCCCAGCCCTTCCGACCCCCACACCCCATTGTTCCCGACCTCACTCACCTCGGAGAACGTCGGCGAAGGCCGGGCCGGAGCACTGGTGGCAGGCTCCCGACCGCCCAGGAAGCCGGGCCGGTGACGGCAGGATCCGCGAAGGCGTACCCGGCGACTTCTCCGCGGGCCCTCGGGAGCCGGAGCATGAAGGGGCGCTTCACCCTCCTCGCGAGACAGCGGAGACCCCGGCGGCTGTTGTGACCCCTGTGACGTAAAGAGCTCATCACCAATGGTAGCGTGGACAAAGCGCAAAGCCCCGCCCTCGAGGCCACCGGCGCGTCAAAACAAAACACCCGCCTGCGTGACGCATGCGCATTGGGAGGGCGCCGGCCCTGGGGGCGGAGCCAGGTGCGCTCGGCCCCTCCCCCTTTCCCCTTTTCTCCCTCCCCCCCTCCCCCCAAACCCCTGCGACCGTTCCCGGCTCGAGCGCGCAGCCGACCCTCCCGGGCACAGATCCCTCCGAAGGTCCCTCGCCATCACCGTTTCCGTTACTCCTCTCTGGAGGTTACAAAAGGCAGTCACTCAATGTTCGCTCCCAACGTGGCAGGAAAACACGAAAACTAGTGGGTCTCGTTTAAACCTACCCAGACTCTGCGAGAAGTTACTAAAAGAATCTCTTAGTAGTATGGAAAGGAACTGAGTTACACGGAGGTGAAGTCACTTTACCTCCTAGGAAACAACAACTCCGAGATGGGAATGGAACCCAAAGCCAGGGCCCAACCAGGATGCTGGTCTTCGGACAGAAAGATCGACTCCAGTCGGAATAAACAGGAATCCGCTTGAGGACACGGCCTTGAAATCTTCGCAAAATAGACCGTTTTTCTACCAAGACTGCTTTCCCCTTCGCCACCCCCTAAGTCAGGGTTAAAACCCTATTTTTTTTTTTTTTTTTATGATGATATCTGGGATAGACCCCGGAGAGAGAAAACACTGCCCCTAACGCGGCCCCGGCCCCGGTCCTCCCCTCCGGCCGCACGTGCGAGCGTCCCGAACATCCCGGGGCCAAACTAGTGCCAGCGCCCGAGCCAAACCGCCGCCCGGGAGCTTCCCCTCTGACTCTCTATCTGACATATCTGACGCTCAACAAACACTTGTTGATTGGCAGGTGCGGGACGCCGGAGAGCGGACGCCACGTTATTGCTCCTTACAAGTCGCCATTTACATTAAACGTTATGAAAGACTTTGCTTCTTGAAGAAGGGCTGAAATAACGGGATTCCCACAACGACTTGTCACTGTTATATAAATGTTCTATCACTGTTATATAAATGTGGTATTGTTTACGCCAAAGGTAAACACACGAAAGACTTATCCATAGGATGTGGGAACAGATGCCAGAGGAAACGTTAATTCTCCCAGAGTTAGACGCCCGGGGTCCTATTTACTCATTACACATACTCATTTTTCCAAACAGACTTTAAAATGCACAAGACGGTACATTACCTTGCATTAAAACTGCACTGCAACTGAAAGAACCCGTTGGCGAGGTGCGCCTAACTCTCTAAACGGCAAAGAAGAGCCATTTAAATCCTCCTCCCCTGGGTCTGACTCCCCTGCGGGGAAAGGCGGGCCCGGCCCGCGGGCCCGTGGGCCCGCCCCCCGCTCCGGGCGGAAGCGGCCGCCGCGCGGCTGGGAAAGGCTCCCGGAGGCCAGGGGGCGGGCCTTCGTGCCCGGATGTAAGATGGCCGCCGCCGCCGCCCGACAGCCGCCGCCTCGCAGGTTACGCTAGGAGGGCCTGCAGGGCCTGCCCGCGCCCGCGGATCGCCGTGGTCTCCTTACCATGAGGCCAGTGAGTCGCCGCACCCTGGACTGGATTCGCTCCGGGGTAGGTCCCGGGCCTCGCGAGGCTCCACGGTGTCGACGCCCTCGTCCTCCGTGGCGGAAGCCCCGTATTTCTTCAGCTCCCACAAACTCAAAAACCCATTCCTGAATTAAGCTTTTCTCTCCCTCACCTCGGCTCCGCCTCTTCCTGGAGGACACGCTCTTCCGCTTCTTACGTAAGGACAGTGGGGTGGATTCGGCTCCGGAATTCCATTTATTCGTTTGTTACTGTAATTCCCACCTTAGCAACCTACATGGCAACCAATGGGGAGGAGGCAGCGAGGAAGTACTACCCACACTGAATTTTTTTTTGCTTTTACTCCCCCTCTTGCTTTCTTTTAATTTTTAATCAATTTATTTATTTTAGTTGCTCCTCGCGATCGTATTACTTTCCTGGGGATATGTCATCTATGCATCGACAGTAGCCGCTCGACGACAACTAAGGAAGAAATACCCAGACAAAATATTCGGGAATGAATGAAATTTATAATTCCTCTAGATTTTATTCTATGCAAATACTTCATGTTTACCTGACACATGTCTATAAAGTAAAATCCGCAATACAAAATTTCCAAATTTATTATTGTATACAGCCCTTTATAAATAAACCATGAATGTGCTACCTTTTCCAATTCGTATACTTTTAAATTCTCATACAACAAAGCATCCTAGATCTGACAGCCTGAGTATCAGATCATAGATGAAATGACATGCATTTCAATTTAGAGTTCCTAAAATACTTCTTTTAAAATGCCTCTGAAAGCCACCTTTAAAATAAGAGTATGTGGACTTTCTAATCTTTTTAAAAAAATATAGACAGCCACTATATTGACTTTTCACAGAGAAGAAGAGAGAGGAATAGAGAGTTAGAAACATTGTTGAGAGAGAAACATCAATCAGCTGCCTCTTGCACACCCCCTACTGGGGACATGCCCGCAACCAAGGTACATGCCCTTGATCGGAATAGAACCTGGGACCCTTCAGTCTGCAGGCCGACACTCTAGCCACTGAGCCAAACCAGTTTTGGCATGGACTTTATAATCTTATATCTGTTTATTACATTTTATTCTGTTGCATACCTATACAACAGACTAGATTAAGTATTATGTAAGAAAAAAGTTATCATGTGACTAATTTTCTACATCTTTTTTTCTGACACAAGAATGGCCAGAAAAAGGTGATTATTCATATTTTTTTTAAGCAGGTCCAGTTTGTATTTACAGGTCCAGTTTGTATTTATTGTTAAATAACTAAATAAAGTCTTAAATTGTATAGTGTTTGGGAAGAAATAGGCAACACATATCCGAGAGTAAACTTTATTAAAGTTACTTTTCCAGAGAATATATTCAGTAAATATGATAATATACCAACAAAACTTAGGCTCATATGCCTTTGAAATTTTAAATCTTCAATGATGTTGATCAGGAAATTCTTTCATTGGTGGAATTACTTCTCCAGTCTCCAGAATTATATCACCCTAGGAAAACAAACACATATTAGTAGGAAGATCTTGTCTGCAAGATATATCCACTCAGTCAGAACTCACACTGAAAATGTAGTTCAGCTTTGGCATCACAATATAACAGGACTTAGACAAAGCAGTGGCTGTCTAACGATGGGAAACCAGTATTCAAAATCTTAAGGTATAAGGGAAAGAATAGGGGAAGTTTCACTCAAAACAAAATGACCAGAAAGAGCATGAAAGTGGTCTTCACAAAGGGATAAAGGAATAATGTTTATTTGCAAGGCCCCAAGAAATAGAAGCCCTAGAAAAAAGTTCCAGAGAAACACCTTTAGCTCAATATAAAGAGGTAATGTATTTCCAGCAATTACAATAAATGTGTTAGGCAATCAGCAGTTTATCATTTGGCCCAGGCAGTAGAGACAGAATGCAAACTTTGCCTGGAGAGCTGGTTCAGGTGTCTTTTCAAATCTAGATAGAGTGTGTGTGATAGAAAAGGCATGGGCCTTGGAGCCAGCACCAAGTGGTAAGAATTGTGGGAACTCCATGGACAAGCGATATAATTTCAGGCAAATGACTTAGCTTTAGTTTCAGCTTTGTGCTCAAGATTACAGATTCTGTCAACCTGACAGTGATGAATGACTGGGTAGAGCAGAATTATCCCTCATCCGCACCCCAGCCATTTCCTGACCTGGTGCTGCTCAGTATTGTTATTTAATACTAATAATAATAAAAAAAAAAAAATAGACTTTATGTTTAAGCCATTATACATTTTGGGGATAATTTATTACCACAGCTAACATTACCCTAACAGAGACATTAATACTCTGAAGTGGTATTAATGCAGCTGTAATAAAAATTAAACCACATGGCAGTCTGGAGGCAAGGACATTGGCATTGGAAGGTAAAAATAAAATGAAAGCCAGTAATAACTTGGAAGCAGACTTTCTAAGGAGCTTGAGGTTCTAGGAGAGGAAGCTGGAAAAAGTTACGAGTTCGAATATTAGTTGCCTTGGAAAAGTACTTGAGGAAACATGAGCTCAGGTAAGAAGTAGCTGATTTGAAAGCAGATATAAAGAGTAAGATATTCAGGACCTTTCTGGATTGAAAAAGCAAATTGCTTCTGAATCTTTAAACAGTAAGGGTTAACAAAACATTCTGAGAAACAGAAGCCCAATAAAGCTCAGTAAACAGGGACGCAGCCCCTCGTCAAAGATCAGATCGAAGTGCAGTGTGTTTCAGACAGCCTCCGCACAGCTGCCACTGAGCTGAGAGGCAGCTGCATGAGGACAGAGAAAGGAGAGAACGTGGTAACTGTATAGAAAGATGCCCACCTCCCATTTTCAGCTATAAGGACTACCTTACACTATTATACTATTTCCTCCTTTTTTTCTTTTATTTTTGAACAAGAATATACAAAATAAGCACTTGAAGTGACAGTGAAAACAAAAGGAAAATTTTAGTCAAATAATCACTTGGGAAGGGAAGAGAAAGAAAAATAGTGAAAAAACAATACAAAAATCAGATGCTTTAAGACTTACCGGGAATAATCTGGGCTTCCTTTCAACCAAGGCATATGGTTTTGTCTGCAATAAAAGTAATGCTCTGTTAATTATGGTAGAGTTTCTTCTAAAATTATAGATCTTATACCAAATGTTAACTTAGTTCCACCAGCTTTCCACCAAACTCCAGACTCATACAACCGTTTACTCAATATCTACTTGGCTGTCAAGCAGGCACCTCAAACTTAACCATGTCCAAACGTAAGCTTCCCCAGTCCCTAACTCGCCCCTATCTTGGTACAAGACTCTTTCATGCTCCCAAATAAGTAGGACAAAAACTTTGACTTCTCAGCAGATCCTGTTGGTTCTACCTTGAGATTATTTTCTGAATGTGCTTCTACCCTTGTCCAAGTCCCTATCATTTTTCACCTGGGTGCCACCCTACAGTCTAATCTCTACACTGCAGGCAGAGTCAAGTAATTCTAACATGTATCACTCCTCTGCTCAAAGTTTAATTCTTTGAGACAAAGCCAAAGTCCTTGCAGTGATCTCTAAGACCCTGCACAATCTGGCCCTTGGCTAGCTCTCTGAACTCCAACCTCCTCCTCCTTGCACTATAGTACTTACACTATGGTAGCTCCTTTGCTATTGATCCAATCAGTTGGGCCCACTTGAGCCTCAGAGCCATTATATTTAACCAGAGGCTCGGTGCATGAATTTCATGCACTGGAGGGGGGGGGGCCCTCAGCCCGGCCTGCATCCTCTCGCAGTCCAGGACCCTTTGCTCCTTACCACCTGCCTGCTCCCTGCTCCTTACCACTCAGCTTGCTGCTCCTTAGCGCTGCTGCGGAGGTGGAAAAGGCTCCTGCCACTGCACTTGCCAGTGGTGAGCTCAGCTTCTGGCTCCCTGTGGGAGCGCACTGACCACCAGAGAGCAGCTCCTGCGTTGAGCGTCTGCCCCCTGGTGGTCAATGTGCATCATAGCAACTGCTATTCTGGTCATTCGGCCATAACAGCCACTTAGGCTTTTATTATATAGATGATTCCTCTATCTGAAATGCTCTTCTAGTTATTTGCTAGGTCCATGGCCTCAAGTCATTTATGTTTCTCTTTAAATAGCACTTCCTTAGAGAGGCCTAATTTAAAAAAACAGCCCCTATCATTCTCTAGTCTTTTCCCTGCTTAGTTTTCCTTCTACAGACTTATCACCTCCTTTTACACCTCTTTATCTATTTATTGGGAGTTTCCAAAACCAGAATAAACATTTCACGAGGGCAGGGATTCATCTGATTTGTTCACTGCTGTATCCCTGTTTAGAACAGTGCATTGAACATAGGAAGAACTAAACAAATATTTGTAGAATAAATGTATTGATTAAACATATACATATTCATGAAATACCAAACCAAAAAATGTATGGCATGATATAAATCCAGAGAAACTAAAGCCAAAAGAAACTTAGAATACAATTAGAGGATATTAAAGTGTTTTGAAAAATATTTTACATAATACAATGTGAAAACATTAAAATGTCTTTAAGAATTCTAGTCTGGCTGGTGTGGCTCAGTGGTTAAGCTTGACATATCAACTAGGAGGTCATGGTTCAATTCCCCGTTAAGACACATGCCCTGGTTGCAGGACACATCCCCAGTAAGGGGCATGCATGAGGCAGCCAATCAATGATTCTCATCATTAATGTTTCTCCCTTCCTCTCTGAAATCAATTAAAAATCAGAGAGAGACGGTAAAATTCAAGCAGGCAGTAAAGGTGTTAGCAAAGTGGCTGCAAGGGTTATTAAGTATGCAGTCCTGCCTAAATCAAGAGAAAATAAGGTAAGAGAGAGGCCTTCAGATCTATACGGACACAAAACCTTTAATTATGTCCATCTTTGACCCAGGAAAAATCACCTGCAAGTACTAATCCCTCAAATAAACAACCATATTAATTGAATTGTTGACCCAGTGCAGCTTGTTAAATTCACTTCTTTTAGGATACAAGTATCTTTTCAATCCTAGAAAAATTGTTAAATATAGGTATTACAAAGTAAATCAAATCCAGAGTATAAACCAGTGAATGTCAAATTTAGTAAGTTCCAAAAACAATGGACAATCCATATATTGTTTATAGTATTTGTAATGTGTAAGGTAACCTGGCTTTTAGAGGTTTTAAAATACTAAATCTAGAATTCTAGTTAAAGAGCATAATTTAGACTTGTGATTTTAAGTTTTAAAAGATTTTGTTTCTTAGGGTCATTAATTTGCTCTATAAGTATTTAAAAATAAAATGTATAAATACAGTATGAAACATTTAAGAGAATTTGATTATATTAGTAGGTATAATTGTCTTAGGAGAATTCAACTTGAATTAATCCAAAAATAATGAGAGCAAAGAAAGGAGACTGTTCATATTTTCTTAGCTATGTAAGTAGTTTAACAGAATTAAAAAAAAAAATTTTAAGTAATTAGAAAAACGGTTTTTAAATTTGAAACTAACAAATTGAATATTAATTTATATTTCAGATAACTGAGAATAGTTCTTTTGCATATAAAAACCACTCTTGGATGTTAAAAAAACACACACACACACACAAAAAAAACCTGACAGAAAATAATATATTTTCTTTTCTAGGGTCTTGCATGTTAGACCCTACAGAAAAAAATACAGA